AGGAAGATCATGAGGCGGGAGAGGGAGAGGAGGGGGAGGGGGAAAGAGGGGAAGAGGTAAGGAGGAGGGAACGGGGGAGGAGACAGCGCAGCAGCTGACCTGCTTGTCATGGTACACGAGCCATGGAGAGAGGAAGTCTCCCTCAGAGAAGTTGATGGAGGAGGGGTGCAGGAAAACTCTCCCGTCCTTCTCCGTGTAGAGCTTCAGCTCCTTGGCCGTGGCCGCACGTGCGATGGCGCCCGCCGCTTGCTCAACGAACTTGGTCTCCGGGAGCTGAACGCGGATGACGTGGGGGTAGAGTCCAGCAGCGATCACAGCTCGCAGCAGGCGGACGTTGTCGGAATTGGAGTTGCAGGAGGCGTCCAGCTGGTAGGTGAGCATGTTGCGAACCCTGCTGTTTGCGCGCGAATGGATGAACCCAGCGTCCGAGAGAAGCTCGCGGAACTGCTCGCGGAGATCGGAGATGGTGTTCAAGGAGGAGGACGAGAGAAAGTTGGTCTGACAGAAGAGCCTCTCCTCCTTGGCTCCTCGCCTCCTCGCCTTGGTCCACTCATCGAACACACGGATGAAGAGGAGGTGGTCCGACTTGTCCCGCGGGTGGGCGAAGCTCTGCTTCCTCTTCATGGCCTCCTCCCGCTTGTCGAAGGGGACGAGGAACGGCGACTTGCTCGTCATGGTAGCGGCCACAGTGAGGATAGGATCGACACATCCGAACACGGCACCGAACATGAGCATGCGAGCCAGACGGACGTCTGCCGGCACCTTGGCCAAGTGCTCTCCCATATGCGTCAGCCGCCACAGCGCTCCTTGCTCTAGCCACTTCCCCTTCTCTCCCCCCTGAATCGCCCCGACGCCGTAGAGCGTGTCCATGGCATGCTCGATCGACTTGGAGGACGGAGGATCGAGGGCCTCTCGCAGGAACGCAGCGGCAGATCCGAGTTGCATCTCCATGATCTGCAGGCAGAGGCCTGTTAGGGGCACGCGATGGATCTCAGGCTGCTGCTGCTCCGGCATGCGATGGAAGAGGCGGCGGGAGAAGAGCCGGTAGCACACGCCCTCCCTCACCCTCCCTGCTCTCCCCCTCCTCTGCTGCGCGGCAGCTCGGGATATCCAGTCCTCCAGGAGACGAGAGAGCCCGGTCTCAGCGTCGAAGGCAACCTGTTTGCTCCTCCCGCAGTCGATGACGTAGGAGCAGTCGTCGATGGTGATGGAGGTCTCTGCGATGTTGGTGGCGAGGATGACCTGGGAAGAGAGCGAGTGAGGGATACGTGAGGACTGAGAGGACGAGCGGGAAGGAGAGGGAGAGGTGCAGCAGAGGAGTGAGGGGGGACGGTGGACTTGGTCGAGGAGGAGGTATTGGGAGAGTAGGGAAAAGGGCAAGATCCGAGGAACAAAGAGGATTGGAGGAAGGAGGATGGAAAGGAGAAGGGAGGGGCACGATGAAGAGGAGGAGGAGAGCGAGGGGGAGAGGAGGAGAGGAGGAGAGGAGGAGAGGAGGAGAGGAGGAGAGGAGGAGAGGAGGAGAGGAGAAAACGAGGAAGAGAGAAGGAGGAGGAGGAGGACGGTGTACCTTTCTCACGCCAGGAGGAGGTCTTTCGAAGACCTTCAGCTGGTCGAGGGAGGGCAGGGACGAGTGCAACGGGATGAACCAGAACTTTCCGACCTGACGCAGGCGGGAGCTGTCGACCAGCGTGTCGTGCGCCCTTTGAATCTCTCCCATGCCGGGGAGGAAGACGAGGACCGAACCGTCCTGCTTCGAGTCCTGCTGGGCGGATAGTGAGCAACCGAGGAAGATGAAGTGGATACACTGACTTTGGCGGAGGAGGAGGAGATGTGGAGCAGAAGGAGCTCGATCATCTCGTAGTTGATCTTGCTTTCGTCGACGTTGAGCATGGAAATCTCGACGTCGGTCAGCCTGCCGTTGGGGTCGTAGGGCCTCTCGTCCGCGGGCTCTGACACTTGACAAACAGAGTCAACGACGAAAAAAAAGGATGTCAAACGCCAGGGGTACCCGAGTTGACCGTCTCGTCTCCCCAGGGATCCGCTTCATCAGGGATGGAATCGATCTCTAAGGGGGAGTATCAGCTTATTCCCTCCTCGTCCTCCTCCTCGTCCTCATCATCATCATCACCACCATCATCATCATCATCATCACCATCACCATCACCACCATATTAAGATCTTCATGGAAAAGATATAACTCCATTACTCATTATCATCAGCATCAGCATCAGCATCAGCATCACTACCACTGCACCTACATCATCATCATCATCATCATCATCAGCATCAGCATCATCATCAAAAACAACAACAACAACAACAACAACAACAACAACAACAACAACAACAACAACAACAACAACAACAACAACAACAACAACAACAACAACAACAACAACAACAACAACAACAACAACAACAACAACATCATCATCATCATCATCATCATCATCATCATCATCATCATCATCATCATCATCAACAACAACAGCAACAACGTCATCGTCGTCATCATCAATCATCATCATCATCACCTTGATCAACAGCCTTCTCCACGTCGCCTGTCTTCGCCGCCTCCACCATCTCCTTCTTCCTCGCAAGAAATGCATCTCGAGCTAGGGCGTATTGAGACCCACGGCCGATGAGCTGGCCGGTGATGCGGAAACAATCCTCGAGGAAAAACTCTTCCACAGGGAAAGTGAAGCCTGCAGCAGGAAGGAGAGAGAGAAGGAGAGCAGGAGACAAGAGGGGAGGAGAGGAGGAAAAGGGAGGGGAGGAGAGGAGGAGAAGACAGGGCAACAGAGGAGGGAAGGGGAGATAGGAGGAGAGCGGAGGAGAACAGGATCGTAATAGCGCAGGAGAAGGATGAACGAAGGCAAGCACCAAGTCAGTGGGAGTCACGAAACTGAGGAAGGCTGCCAACTGAGCAGGACATGAAGGATGTGAAGGAGACGAATCAGGAGAGCTATGTGAGGAGGAGGCAAGCATCTGCAGGATGGGGGGACGAAGGAGGGAGAGGATGCAGAAAGAGGAGGGGGAAGGAGAATCACCTGGAATGTGAAGGCTGGGGCATCGTCGAAATATTTACAGAACTTGTGAGCATCGAGCGTCGCGCTCATCAAGATGATTTTGATGTCTTTCCTCCTGTATGCAGCCTGTCACATCTCCTCCCATCCTCCTCTTGCCTCCTGCCTCCTGCCTCCTGCCTCCTGCCTCCTGCCTCCTGCCTCCTCTTCTACTTCTCCTTATCCGTCTCCGTCTTCCTTCACTGATTCTTGCCGCTCTTCTCCTCCTCCTCCCATCGCGCACTCCTCCCTCCTCCTATTTCTCCTCATCCTCCCTCTTTTCGCTTTCCCCTTGCTTCTTCCTCTTCCTCTTCCTCTTCCTCTTCCTCTTCCTCTTCCTCTTCCTCTTCCTTTTCCTTGTTCTCTTCCTCTTCCTCTTCCTCTTCCTCTTCCTCTTCCTCTTCCTCTTCCTCTTCCTCTCTCTTTCCTGTTTCCCTCCTCCACCCCTCATCGCATCCTCATCATCTCACTTTCTGATGAGCCGGCGGAGGAGGATGAGGAGGAAGTCGCTGTCGACTGATCTTTCGTGCACTTCGTCCACCATCACGTGGGAGACGCCGGAGAGCTCGCGATCTTCCGCCATCCTCCTCAACAAAATTCCTGCAAGAAGATGAGAAGAGGCGGAGACACATGGAGTCAGTGTCTGCTGCTGCTCCTCCTCCTCCTCTCATTTCCCCTTTCCTTCTGCACATCACGAGAATCTTTGCTTTGCTCCCCTTCTCTTCTGCTGGTCTCATTCTCTCTTCAGGTCTCCTCCCCACCCCCCTCCACTACCTGTTGTGCAGAAGAGCATACGAGTTTGACGCGATCGCTTGGATTCCAACCTGATCTGATGAAGAAACTCAGAACGAGCAAATGCCGCCTCCCCTGCCAGTTTCACTTCTCCTCTTTCTTCTCATGTCCTCTCTCCTCCTCCTCCTCCTCCTCCTCCTCCTCCAGATGCTACTGCTGCTCCTCTTCCTCCTCCTCCTCCCACGGCATGCCTCTCCTCCATCTCCCCCTCTTCGTACCTGGTATCCGATGCTTCCCCCAACATCTTCGCATCTTTCTTGCGCCACACGCTCAGCAACCCCGAGAGCTGAGATCCTACGGGGCTGAGTGCAGATGATGTTTGCTCCTCCTCCTCCTCCACGCTCGATCAGGTCATCCAGGATGAACTGAGGAACCTGCAGGCTGTTATCATCCTCCGGCCTTCTCCATCTCCTCTTCACCCTTCTACTCCTTCTCTCCCTCTCCTTTCTCAGAACCGGGTTCCGTCTATCTCCCCCATTCTCTCGCTCGGTGCACACAAATACAGGATTTCCTTCTTCCCTCCCACCCTTCGTAATCGTTTCCTGATTACCTCACTTCCCTGAGTTTCATAACTCCATCTCACCTCACCTCACCTCTCCTCTCCTCTCCCTCCCCTCCTCTCTTCCTTACCGTCCCTCCCCTCCCCTCCCCTTCTCTCCTCTCAACTTCACCTGCGTCGTCTTCCCGCATCCTGTTTCACCGGAGATGATAAGGACTTGGTTCTTTGACAGCTTCTCGATAATCTCCTCTCGCGCTTTCCATGCGGGCAGGCTTCTCCTCTTGTCCTGGAGCTTGCACCAGGCAGGAGACGACTTCTTTTTCTCCTCTTGCTCCTTCATCAACAAGGACACCTGCTTCACCTGCTCCGCATTGAGCGCTTGCTCGCGTCCTCCTCTCTGCGCGGAACTTCTCGACGGACCGGACGATGACTTGACCTTGACAACACTCGTCGACGAGCCGCCCCTGGAACCCTCGGCTGAGCCCTCCGTCGACACCTCCGACAGGTCGTCCGCCTCCTGTTGCGACCGACGGCAGGAGAGCAGGGAGCTCAGTTCCTCCTGGCGAGCAGGGAGGATCGCAAGAGGCTCGTCGGACTGCAACCAGCTCACGAGGTCGAAGACGACGGGCCCTCCGACGCTGCGGGAGGACAGGTCGAACAGCTCCTTGCTCATCCAGACCTGGTGGGCCCTGGGCGTCGTCGGGCCCCTGACGAGGATGCGACGAGGAGGAGAATGAGGATAACTGGAACCCAGCAAGGATATGCTCAGCTCGAGCCCCTCGATCCTCCCACCGAGAGCTCCATCCACCTTGACCCTCCACTCTCCATTTTCAGCGAAAAAGTTCTCGCCGAAGATGGAGGAAAGCGCCTGGGCCTCTTCCTCCGCTTCCTCTGCGATGCTCTCTGCCTCTCCCTCTCCTCCTCCTCCTCCTCCCTGCTGCTGCTCCCAGAGGAGATGGTTCAGGGCGTTTTGTACTTCGCCATCGCAGGCCTGCAGGGCAGATTGCGACGCTTCCTCGTGAAACCCAAGGCTGATGAGGATCTCAACGTCAGTCGCATCCTCCCATGATACGGCAGCTGAACTCCTCCCGCTCCTCCTCTCTTCCTCCCTCCCTTTCCCGCCCTTTCCCACCTCTTCCTCTCCCTTCTGACTCTTCCTGTCCTTGGAGAAATCGATGATCTCAAACGGCATGTTCCCTCCCTTGGTCCGCAGGCCCTCGGGGAGTTTCCCCTCATCCTCGTGAAGGCACAGCCAGTCTATCATCAGCTCCGCTCCTCCTTCTCCGCACGCCCTCATTGCTCGATCCACCTGCTCCTGCGCGAATCCAAGGGCTAGCACCTTGCTCCTCTCCTCCTCCCCGCATCCTCCCTTTCCCGATCCTTGCGAGGGGAAGAAGCTGCTAACCGCCGACCTCAGCACGTTCTCCAGCTTCGTGAGGAGTGCAGATGAGATGTACAAGGGCATGAACTTGTCCTTGCTCGCCGAGTTTTCCCTCTTCTTCTCGTTCTCCTTCCTCTTCGCCGCCATCTCCGCCCTCCTCTTCGACTCCGCTTCCGCAGCCTCCACCTCCTTCCACAGAGCCGCGTACTCGGCACCCATGATCCTGTCCATCCTCCGGTCTCCTGCCGTGCAGTACAGTCCCCACACGGCCGCCGCCTCCTGCGCCTCCTGTGCCGTAGCATAGCTTCGGTCGGTGACTCTGACCTGGGGATCGCCGCCGTCCTTGTGGAGAATGAACTTGGCCTTGAACCCGTTCTTGTCCTGCAAGGTGACGATTGAAGGCTTTCCTAGCTTCTGCTTCTGGCAGAACTCAGACAGCAGCTGCCGCGGCTTCTTCGTTGTGTCCCTGATCTTTGTCACCCCAGCTACTCCCTCTACGCTCTCGGCGCCCTGCTGCTTCGTTGTGCTCTCAGCACCCTGCGCTCCTTTCTTGGCCCCCTGGTTGACGTATCCTTTCACCACTTCCTCCTTCTTCCCACCGACGCCCTCCACAGCCTTGAGCGCTTGTTTGGCGCTGCTCTCACACGCGGCAGCAACTTCTGACGCTACCGCAAATCGCTTCGTCCTCTCCTGCTTTTTCTTCTCCTCCTCTTCCTCTGCTCCCTTCGATCCCGACGCCGCAGCCTTCTGTGCAGCCTTCCATGCCTTCACGTCGACTTCGGGCCCTCCGCTGCTCCCTGCATTGGCGTTGCTGAATATACCCCTCTTGGCCTTGTTCTGAGGCAGCTTGTTGATCTTGCTCTTGCTCACCGGCTTCGCTGTCGTCGACATGGCAGGCGATCACAGAGATCAGAAGACAACGAAGATTCAAGGAGGAGCAGAGGAGAGGGAAGAGGCAAGGAGAGAGGGCGCGACCGATGGGCAGACTGAATCTGCGGGCGGGGATTTGTGGGGAGGGAGAAAAAGAAGAGGGGGGCAACAGAAAGAACCAGAAGAGAGGAAGAGAGAAGATGGCAGAGAGTGAAGGAGGGATGGGAGGAAGGAGGAGGGAGGATGGAAGGGGATCAGGTTGGGAGTCCTGCCGACCTCCATGCCGCCATGGCCTCCCTGAAAGCGTGTGCCATTGGTAAGGCAGGCAAGGAGAGTGTATATACTCCAACCCGCCTCAATGACTTTATTGATAATTGAAAAAGGCAGCAAAATTATATATATGACCCACCTAGATTGAAGCTTTAAGACAGCAGGAGTCGGAGCGTGCAGGACATAGAAGCAGGAGCGCGTGGAGGACGGGAAGATCTGTCGAGCTCGACGTTGTCGGAGCAGACGAGCAGTCGAGCATGAAGACGATGAGACTCAGAGTCCCAATGGGCCGCCTCCTGCCTGCATGCATCCATTCCCGCTGTCAGGCTCGCGCCATGGCGATCCTCCAGGTGCCCGACAAGCCGCTGTCCGATAGCATGAAGGAGTCCTCCCGGGCCTGCAGCGATGGACGGGAAGGCGTCGGTCGGATTGTGGGTAGTATGACAGGTGCGATGATCCGAGAGCTTGTGGTGCCCTGCCTGGGAGAGCGCAGGGAGGCAGGCTGGGGCTCAACAGCTGCTCAGAGGACGCGTAAGATGGTCGCCCAAGACCAGCCCCGCCATGGCAGGAGCATGAAGGTGACAGAAGACAAAGTCGACCGTCTCCCGGCGACTCGTAGAGCGATGCTGTGGTGCTTGAACCCAAGGACTCCGACTCTCTTGCAAACGGAGATGCGTGATGGATTCAGACACCTTGCAAGGGTCGGAGAGGATCCCGGGGCAGCGCCCAAGAGCTGTCGTCGCCCGAAGAGCTGCGCCATGCTGAACAATAGCCAGACGAGCCTAGAGAAGCATGGCGCTGCTGGATGCCGCAGGACCCATGGCAGGACCGTAACGACCACTGGTTCGAGGCATGCAGGCCTATCACATCCCATGGATGAACCGACGGCAAGTGGAGAGGACGGGGGGACGAGCGTCAGCAGGATCAAGTCATGTCACCAGCGTGGAGGAGGAGAGGAGCCGAGGCTGAGGGGGAAGGGGCTGGCCAAGTGAGTAGAACGCTGTGAGGGGGTGCGAGCGAACATGAACGAGTGCATTAGGAGTTATTGCTGGCCCGCCTCAGTGTGTTGGGGCGGATAGAATGGCGCCACAGAGGCGGACCCTGAGGGGGAAGAGGAAAGAGCAGGAGCGGGAGCAGGAGCAAGAGCAGGATCAGGATCATGATGGGAAGCAGGATGAAGTGAAGGAACATGAGGAGGGTCAGCAGTTGATGGGTCCTTCATGTTGAGATCGTGATAATGAGGGCTGGGTGAAGGGGTGTGTGCATGGGAACAGCGAAGGAGCGAGCTAAGTGTCCTCGTGTACTCTGACCTTCTCCTGCAGGTTTTCGGTCGTCCCTCGCAATAGGATGGGCGTCAGAGGCCTCCAGACGCTATGCTCGTCCAAGGCCGAAGAGCTCTCGGAGCTCGTGAAGTAAGTTGGAGGTGGGGAGGAGGAGGGGAAGCGCTAACTGCCTGCCATAGCCTAACCGAGATGTCGAGGGAGAGGACGGGGAAGGTGAGCAAGACGACCATGTCGCATGCTGAGGGCTGAGCGATGCGGCAGGGGGGCAAGAAACCGCTGCTGATCATAGACGGCTTCTTTCTTATCCATCACGTATTTCAGAGTAACGACCCGTGTCCCGCTGGCGCCATTGGCTGACTTGCGGCCTCTTAGAGCTCTGCCCAACATGGCAGTGGATCCTTGGGGGCGACTACAAGATGTTTGCTACAGGTGAGAGGCGTGCTCAGCTTCGTTTCTCAGCTCCTCCCCTGCAGAGCTCCAAGACCTGGTGGGGAATTTGCAGCGATGCGAGGTGGACGTTCTGGTGGTTTTCGATCCAGCGCGGGGGACCGAAGGGCCGGAGATGAAGAGGAGGGAGCATGAGAGGAGGTGCTACCTGCTGATCGACCCCTCCCTCCTCGTGGCTGACGAGTGCATGTCCGTCAGGTTTGCAGACAGGAGCGAGAACATGGACCAGATCGTCTCGTACATACAGAACAACAAGGACCCATCCTCTCTGTCAGAGGTAGAGTGCGATCAGTGAGAGTGGAAGAGGGAGGAATGCTGATGTTCTTGGTGACAGAATGCGTTACGTCAAGCCTGGCAGTCGCCATGTCTTGCTAAGAATCAAGCCATCGCTACCCTGCGCAAGTGTGGGGCAGAGGTCCGCACGAGCCTGATGGAGGCAGATATAGACATCTGGTTGATCTGCCGATCGTCGGACACAAGGACGTTCGTCGTTGCAAACGACTCTGATTTCAACGTTATGCCCGGAATCCATTACACGCCCTTAAATTTCATGGAGGTGAAGGGCGACATGGTAATTTCCTCCCCTTGCATTACTGAGGACTAAAAGAGGGTTGCGATACAGTTGTATGCCCGGGTGTTCACTTCTGAGAAGTTAGCTTCGTTCCTCCGACTGAAGCCTGATCGGTTGCTCTCTGTTCTTTGTGATTGTTGGGTCTGAACGTGTGTGCCATCGCAGACTTTGGGAGTTTGCTGCTCTTTGCTCCAACGATATGACACGAGACGTTGTACAAAAGTGAGACGTGACTCGATTCCGATGAAGAAGATGGTTGTGACTGTTGTGAAAGATATGATATCATCAAAAGACTTGGCATCCCCATTCGCAACAACGAGGTATGAACACTCTTGATTATAGAAAGAAGAGAAGAGGGGGGGGGGGGGGGGGGAGGGGAGGGAGGGAGGGAGGAGAGAGAGAGAGAGA